TTTTTAACACTTTGCATGCTTTTCAGGAAACCAAATGATAACCTCTGCACCGAATCATCTCAAAATCAATACAAATAAATCTCCTAGCATTGAATTAGAATGGCTTGCTCCTTTTGGTTCAGCTAAAATTGAATTTTATCAGGCACATATTTTTTTCTGCTTATCGTTTTTATCTGAACAGCATGATTGTGTTCAAAAAGATACTTTTTTTCTGCATTCTATCCAAGAAAAAAAGCTATCAAACAGTGATGTTACAGTGGAAAAACTGAAGAAGAATCAATTTAGATTTGGATTACTCAGTGCTCTTTTTTTCCTTGGCTTATCTTGTTAATGGCAGTTATATGTAGGCCTAACTTTATAGTCATAGTTTTATCAAAACACAGTCAAAAGTAGTAAGTCTACTTGTAAAGAAATATTTTTCAAAAACAATTTTAAAGGTTTGAAAATAAGACAGAAAATTTTCATTTTTTACTAGCGGTGATCAGAAGCAGTCAACGGAAAGCAGCAGTAACCTTAAGATTGCATAGTTTGAAAATAAACTTATAGTCTTAAAAAATCTTAAACGTTTAGTCAGTTTTTTTTTTGTTTTATTTTGCTTACCTAATTTGATGCTGATTGAGTACAGTTTTCGAAACAACAACCAAAAATGATTTCTAACGCTTGCACACCTAACGTTTAGATAACAGTCAAAAATATGCGCAGTCGTTATGCAATAACGGAAAGAATTAACGGGTCTGTCTACAAGCATGTTATCGATAACCTTTTACCTAATACCCTTTACAATATATCAATTCAAGCCGGCACCGAAAGTAGCGACTTGAGTCCAGCTGCATGGAAGTTGATCACTTTACCACAGTTCCATTATGGTGAACAAATCGCTAGTATTTTTCAACTTTTTTAAATTAATTAGTTTATTTATTTATATTGTTACTTCTTTGGTTTTTATGGCATGCAAACTAAATCGTTTTTTCTCTCTTAATCAATTCTTTATGGAATGTATCTACTTAATGCATTGACATGAAGACTTTTTTTCGTCTTATGATAACTGTTTTTTATGCTGATTTTCAAATAATTAGCAACTTTGTATTCAAATATTCTAATTAACAACAGAAAAAAATAATGACATATATCAACAAGTCAACAATTTTTAATTTAAGCTAATGATGGCATTGAACCATATTCGCTATCGATCAGCAATATTCAAGCACTTAAACACGGTTCTCGTATACAGTTGAGATGGTCAGTTAGTGGCAAAAGTTGGGATGTTGCTGCATATAAAGTATTATTGTCTTTTTCTTAATTTTTTTCTTGGAAGTAGTTTTAATTTTCGTTAACTTTATACTCAGTTTGTTAATGAAGCATTTAATGTGTTTTCAACTTTTTTTTAGATTGAAGTAAGACGCCCCGGCGATAATTACTGGCGACAACTTGTTGGTCCAGTTCGTCACGACACATCTCAGCAGTCCTTTGTAGTTGAGCTGCCAAGAATTAGTTCAGAAGATTATTACATTCGTATTTCAGCACTTAACAACAAAGAGGAAGTGATGTTGACATCCACACCATATCGAGTGACATCTCATTGTGAAGGTTGAAACTTTTACCTGTTTTGTTTTTTGTTATTTTCAATTTTTACTTGGATTTTTATCGTATACTAGCCAAAAAATTATTACTTATTTCAGCGCCGACTAAAGGACCTCAGAATGTACATCTTGAAGACAGTGAAAGAGGTGTTAGAGTTCGATGGACATATGACGATATCGATGGCAATGATTGTCAATTACAGTTCAAAATAACAGGTTATGACAATCGTAAACCTTTTACTAAAACAGTTGACGGTAATTTACGAGAATACACTTTCCCAACTAGCGGCGGCGGTGAATGGCACTTAAGAGTTCAGGCGGAGAATCAGGCTGGTTCTGGACCACAAAGTGATCTGGCAGTTCTTCGAAAAACTTCAGAAGGTTTGCATCTTTTGAAAAAAAGTGTTTTAACTTTTTTTTTTTCTAGAAATTTAGAATTACTGAAAAATATTTTTGATTGTCCTCAAGTCTATTATTGTTTTTACGTAACAATTTTACCGAAAAGAACAGTCCAGCCCTGTTTATATAGCAAATGATGTTTAATTATAGTTGAACAAATCGTTGTTTAGGCTTTATTAACCTAAGTGTTCTCTGTCATTATCTAGGCCTTGCATGCAGTGTTAAGTCTGTGTTAAGGAGTGTATTACAAGGATTAGCCTAAACTTTCAATCAGTAACATTGTTGGTGTTTAGACAATGAATTGTTTAAAATGAATTTTCTTCAACAGTTAGCTTACACCAATTATTCCTGTTACATATCCTTCTCACAGTGTTGCGTAATGACTTCATTTAATTCTTTTTTTGCTTCGTTTTTCTTTTTCTCACCATTTTTTTACCGTATCGTTACTTGTCGCCTTAAAATACACTTTAATGAGCACGTTGGTCAATTACTTTTTCTCATTAGTGCCACATATATTGTGTGATATGTTAGTGCACTTTTTTTCCTCAAATTTGTCTACCTAAAAAGGTCAAAAAGTTAGCGGCTACAACAAAATATAAGAAAAAAACATTTAACACAGTATTGACCAATCTGTTAAGAATAATTAATCTGTATAGCTTTGAAGGGCTTTTTATAGGCTTTTTTGTAGCTTTCTTTTTTTTGAACTTTTCAAACAGCATACTGTAGTGTGTTGTGACGCTTATCTGAATACGTTTTTTTTTTTTTCTGTATGTTTCCTATAGACTACAGCACCATTTAATATCTAATTGTTGTTCTTCACTGCTTTTGTCGCTCTTTACACAATTATAATCGAACAAGAGTAATAAGCAGCAAGCAAATCTATGTAGCATATGTTTTCACAGTTTCTGAGATGGCATATCGTCAAATGCAAAACTGGCGTCTGATTTTAAAGCACTATGGTATCCTTCAAATATACTGTATATATTTGTCCTGTTTTCGTTAGTCTTATTCTGTTCTTGTTCTTCCTTTTTTTTTCCCCCTTCACAGCTACACAAATATTGCAGTAAATGTCGGTGTCCGTACACAACGTTCTGTGTGTGATACACGTCTAGATTTCTGGTGTCGTAATCAAACAAGTGCGGAACTGAAGCCGTCTCCCACTGAAGGTTTGTAAGAGTGAAGTGTAAAGAAAGTTGCTAGCGGCTTTAATTCAAGCATCCGCATAAAAAGTTCAAGTTTTATAATAGAAATACGTACTTTATATTTTTTGATGGGCACTTGCCTTCATAGTAAAACTTTTTTAATTTTTTAAATATTTTAATTTTATTTCACTTTTTTTTTGAATTTAGAATTTAAAAAAAAAGCTTGAACGTTTATGTGGAATTTGTAACTGTTTAACGCTTACTATTCTGTTCTCAGTGCACCTTATGTTTTGCTGCCTAACAACGTCTTTCGCTGAGTTGAATAACATAATGAATATCTTTATTTTTATTTTCAAATAAAAAAAATTATCAGTTCATTGTAATTATAAAGACTTAAATCTAATGCCTTTTTTCAGCTTTTAATCTTAATGTTAAATATAGCATAGATTTTAAAAATGATGATTAACTACTGCAAGAACAGTCTCATAACAAAAAAAAGCCGAAAAAAAAGCTTCGTAACAAGTGCTGTTATCTCAATAAGTCACGTTAACCGATTTTGGTGCTATCTAAGACTGTAAAAAAATTACGTTAGGAGGAAAATATGAGTAAAAAGAAAAAGAATAGAGAAAAATGGAAAAATACAATTTTTCCAAAAAAGAAGAAAATTGTTTTTAGTTCATTTTAGTTGTTTAGTTGGTTTTTTTTTTTTGCTTACTAACACGAACTTTAGATATTAGTAATGGACAACAAATGCTCACCTTTTAATTTTAGCACTCACTATTACTCCGCGTATCATTGATAATACTGGAGGAAGGCTGATTGTTGAGTGGGAAACGAAGGGAAATAGCCGTGGTATAGTCAGTTATTTGGTACAATTCAGAACTGATGAGATTGGGTGGCGTGCAAGCGGGTTTGATTTTCACTTTCATCATTATCGAAATGCAATTAAGGCTTGGACAGTAAAAAGCCGTAATTAAGACACTAACTCAGACAGTTCTCCATCGTATTTGATCATTTGATTTCGCATTAATACTTCTATTTCAATAAAGATGTACAATTTAGCCAATACACACCTCACGTTGGAGACAGCAGAACTTATCGCCAAACACTGTACAATCTTCAAAGAGGAACTACCTTTTACGTGCATATTCAGGCTCTTGATACCAGCCACACTGTACGGTACACAAGTGCAGAAGTAGCTGCAAAGACTGCATGTTCAAGTAAGCAATTCGTCAAAAAAAGAAGTTATTAACCACAATCAAACGCTTATTCGTCGGACAGAAAGAAACTTTTTTACTATTACCAAAGATAATTTTTGTTAACGGATGATTACGAAAGCTTAAATACACTAAATTTTCTGCCTCTCACAGAACTTTTTAGGCCCCACACAAGCGCCGTTATCTCCTGAAATCGTAGCTCCAGATTCACGCCATGTTCGAGTTTTATGGATCCCGCCGCCTCCACATACTTGGCAGTGTAATAATGTTGTTATTGAACTACAAGTTCAGGATCCGCCGGGAGTTGGATTAATCAAGATTGATAAGAGTAAAAGGGAACATATATTTGACGCTGCACCTAATCAGGATTGGGCAGTGGCTCTCCGCGTTGTGAACTCTGTTGGAGCTTCTCCGTGGACTCAGACTGTAATGACAAGAACACCATCAGCAGAAGATTTGATTGTTGGTCTTAAAGTCACTCACAGTGAAGCAATGCCAAGGGTCACATGGAGAAGTAAGGAGGGTTACGATAAGGCAATTGGATACTATAGACTGGAATGGCGTCCAAGAGGAAGCGAAGAGTGGCAGAAACATGGCAACCAGGTAACTGTTTTATCTGTTGACGTTATTTGCTACTTGACCTTCTACAAAAAAATAAGAAAAATCGTTTTAGATTCCACACTTTGGTTGGCAGAGATCGTATAGCGTCGACTTGCAAGTTTTAACAGAAGCTTCGCTTTATGATGTTCGAGTAAAAGCATTTGATGCTGCTGAAAATGTCATATACACTTCCCACAGCCTTGCAGTTCAAGTTCAACCAAGATGCGAACCTCCTTCTATCCCGCCAAGCGATATAAGAGCTACTCCAATAGGCGCTACACAGATACAGTTGCGATGGCAGGTAAGCAGTTCCAACTTTTTATTTTTTAGTTACTATTAACCTTTTGCTAGAATGGCTTAAGCGATTAAATTTAATTTTTCTAGCCATTACCTATCACTGATCCAAAATGTGCCATTTGGTATGTGATTGAGTATTCAACACCGCAATACTCGGGCGTACAGAATGTTTCGATGGAAAAAACTCAACATTTGTTTGATTCTAAACCGTTTACCAAATGGACATTCCGTATCCAAGCTGCAAATGCAATGGGAGAATCGCCATGGTCCGAGCCAGTTACTGCACAAACTCTCGGAGCAGGTATATTTTCTGCTGGGATTAACTAAAGCCTCATTTTACAGATAAAATGAAAAAACTTCTTTCAGCACCAAGTCCCATATATAACCTACAAGTTCATCCAAAGTCAACATCGATCTATATGGCGTGGAGGCCACCGAGAGACTCAATGGGACAATATGTAGAATATGAAATAACTTATCAGTTGTTGAACAGGTAAGCCACTATTTACACTCTCAATCACATATCTCTCGTGTTAAATCACTTTACGAAAAAGTGAGCAGTTTTTTATTCTGGAATACAATACTATCTGAAAGGCGCAAGTTGATTATAGAGGAAACTGTGGACCTAGCGGAAACGCGCCAGTCAATAAAGTAACCTCACCTCAAACTACATTCACTATTAATGACCTATATCCATACTCAAAGTATCGCATAACCATAGCAGCAAAAACTACAATTACTGGTAATTTCAGCCATAATATATATTTCTTCAAAAAACTCTTTTTTCTCTTCCATTCTTTATTTCCATACTCGAATAGTTGATGTTTTGTTTGGTAATCTACAGTTGCCAAAAAGGTTTAAAATAACGGTGGCACATTTTCCACTAGTTTTAACAAATATAATTTCTTCACTCGAAAAGTAATATAATTCCGAACTTAATCCTATATAATACGAGCCGGTCATTATCATTTTATTCGCCTCATATAATCTGCAGGCAGAAGTTTCACACAAGACGTGGACACCGCTGAAAGTGCGCCATCTGCTCCGCCATTTGACATCCAAGTTGAAGGAGTACGACAAACTGAGGTAGATTTGGCATGGCAACCACCAATTTGTACAACAAGGAACGGTGAGCTTACCGACTACGAATACGAACTGCGGAGCTCTCTGCAACCTCACTCTGCTATAAATATCAAGAATACTGGTGGGCCAAAAACACGAGTAACAGTAAGTGGACTTAACCCAATGACTCCATATTCGGTTCGATTACGAGCATATACGCATGGAGGCCATGGTCCATGGTCAGAAAGCGTAAATTTCCAAACTCGTCAAGTAGAACAGGTAGGTTACTTCAAAAGTTATTTATTTTGAAATAATACCATTTGTTTTTTGATAACAAGCCATTGTTTTCTACTGTTCAGATATCTCCTCCAACTGACGTCAAGGTACTGAAAACGGGTCCAGACAACGCCCACATGTTTTGGCAAGATAACTATGGAAGAGCAAATTCAGTCGATAAATACAAGTGTCGGTACACGGTTATTGGCAGAAATGATTACAAAGAACGACAATTCCCTGCGCATAACCCATGTTCAAAAGAAGTTATACGTACAGAGAATATTCCGGGATTTGCACCTGGTTCACAGCTGCACTGCGGAAAGATAGACGGACTAGAAAAGCATAAAGAATATCAATTTGAGGTACAATAAAAAAAATTATTGATCACATCTTGTGCTAAAATGGTGCCTAACGAGAAACCGCAATTATATTTTCAAACTGAACTTGGAACGTTATTTGCAGGTGGCTGCTGGTAGTACTTCGCAGAATCAATGGTCAGATTGGAGTTTTGCTTGCACTCGTCCAGTTGGGTGTAATCAAAAATTGGATCGCAGATTTAACTCTGCGCCAAAAGTTGTTAATG